ATAATGATGAAAGATGAAGATGCTTCATGGAATAGGAAAGATAGTTGCATTTGAGGCACTAGTGAATGCGTGCAAATAAAAACAGAAGAACAAATAATTTCCCAGTGTATTTAGAAAACTATTCATGATGAAAGGGGCTTTGTTTGATTGCTTATTAAAGCACACATTTATAAGGAATATAGGTAATATTCATTGTCAATATGTGTCAAGACAAATACTGAAATATATAACTAGTAATTGAGGGGCTATTTATTATTTATTTTTTTAAATAGTAATTTAAGGTGAAGATTGTGTTTCAAATTGTTTAAAAAATAGTACGGGGCCTATATCCATTTTATCAAGTGTTCCAGGCTCTTACTTACATGGATGGCCAAAAAGTAACAGTTCCCAGGATGGTTATATTTTTCACCATCAAAGGTGGTAATTGAACTTCCTTCGACCTTACATCTTCCAGGGCATAATGCTTCAGTGCAAGACCACTTTGCTTCTTGGCATGTGCTGTTAACATGAAAGGGTTATGTTAAAGGTCATCACTTGTGTTTTCTCAGTGGTAAAAAAAATATATATATATCTCAACATTAAAAAAAAATCACAATTTGAACTAAGACATTTAGTAAAGTATTATTAGATCCGATTCATGCCCCACCCAATATCTCAGCTATGTTAAAATCTTGGTATTTTAGAAGACTTGAATTCCATCGACTAAAACAATAACTTCTGCCGGCATTAAACATAAAAACTTGTAAACTGGATTTCAGGAACTTGTTCAAATGGAACACATTTCACTGTTAGTATTAAAACACCTGGTACACATCCATTGTAGACCTGCACTGTCCAATATAGTTCAGTCATATGGCTATTGATTATTTGAAATGTGGCTATTCCAGATTGAGATCGGCTGTAAATATAAAATATAGACTTTGAAGACTTAGTATGAAAAAAATTTCAAAATCACTCCTTAACTTTTTATACTAATTTTTTGTTGGAATGATAATATTTTGGATATAAAAAATATAAGATAAAAACTAATTCTATCTGCTTTTTTTTTTT